AGAAGAATGAGCGAAAGTAATGCATTATTTTTTTTTCCTGGGTTTGAGAAAAACCCAAATCTGGGTTTAAGAAAGGAAGAAGAAGGAGAAAGGAAAAAGAGGAAGAAGAAATCTGACGTGGGTGAAAAAAAAAAAAATTATTACTTTTAAATTAAATAAAAATGCCAACTCATAGAAAAATGGCCAATTATACTTTTTTTTTCCATGTCATTGATTAAGAAAAAAAAAAGAATTGATTTGCTGGCATTTTAACGTGCCACCTGTCATTTAACTGACGGAAGGACCATTTTGGTATCGAAAATGAAAGTTTGAGGATAATTTTGGTACTTTTTAAAGCTGAGGGACAATTTTGGTACCAAAGTGGATAGTTGAGGGACCAAAATGGTACTTAAACCAAAAATTTACAATCTGCACCTATAAAACAACGTCATTTGTCATTTTATCTGAAAAGCCCTTTATTCCTTTTATTCTCTTTGCAACAAATCTCATTCCCATCTCATTTCCCTTTATCTCTTCGCACTCTACACCCTCTTCTTCAGAGTTTAAATCCAACAAGGAACCCTTGCAATTGTGTATGACAATCGTTTATTGAGCACCTCCTTTCATTCTCGCACCTCCTCTCATTCTCGCACCAGATCTCATTCCCGCACTAGATCTCATTTCCCTTCATCCCTTTGCACTCCAAACCCTCTTTTTTAGCGTTCAAATCTAACAAGGAACCCTTGCAACTCTGTTAAAAAATCATTTGTTGAGCACCTATTGATCACTAAAAGACTTCTTTTTTCCAAAACATGCTTTTTCGACATTAGAGAGCAACAAGGGTTCGATTTGTAAGTGAGGGTGAACAACAAGTTTTTTCCAATATTTGTTGCTTAAATTTAATTTGATTTCTTTGGGTTTTTTTTTTTTTTTTGGAGAATCATATATGGGTGTTGTGAATTCATTCTAGCAAAAGAGAATGGGAAGCTTTGGTGATGGAAGATCCAACTCACACTATATATATATATATATATATATTATAGTTTGATTAATGCTATTGGAAAGTTGAAATTGATTGAAGTCTTGAACATAAATTGGCCAAGGAAGAAATAGATAGGCACAGGGGGAAACGAGAAAATGAGTTTTTCTAATGGATTTTGTATTAGCAACTTGAATTTTGTTATAGTGGAGTTATTTTTGATAGTTTGACTGTAGGCATCATTTCTTTGTCTTAACTTTTGAATTGTATTTGTTCTTTAAAATGGTTTATGCAATACAATTATTTTGAAATAGAAATTCAATTTGGTTTCTATTGCAAATTGTCCATATTCTACACTTACTATTAAAAAGACAAATGGGCATACGGTATTGAAATAACAAAAGCAGAGATTATGCATCATGTATTGGCAAAATGTTGCCAAAATGCAACCTGATTTCTCATACATATTCTGCATGTCTTCTATACATATATTGCATGTTTGCCTATACAAAATGCTGCCAAAATGTTGCATGTTTTCTTATACATATGCTGCACATTTGCCTACACAAAATGCTGCATGTTGCCTTTAGAAAATGTTGACTATTTGCCTAAACCACATCAAGTGTACCAATTTGCATGTACACAATTTAGTTTGGTTTTGGAATTATAGAATTCGCCATAACCACAACAAAATAAACCACATTAGAAGTAATCACTTGGAGAAAATGAATCGTCAATGCCTTCTTGTCAAAATTCAGTTTTGTGGTGTAGAGTTATGAGATGTTTCTCCCAATTGTGAACATGCAGCTTTAGTTATAGATGCTTCCTAAAAAATGAAAAATCATAGTATTACCAACATGGTCAACTAAAATTGAAATGCAAAAAGAAATTAAAGTATAAAAAATAAAAGAAAAATGGGGATCCATATATTATACCTATTATTTGGCTCTATCATTCACAATTGGACAACTCCTAATGTCATGACCTTTATCATGGTAGACACCACTTGAGAAACTTGTTTTCCTAAAGGAATCCTTGTAGCTTTTTTCAGTTTACCTTTAGTTTTAACCTTTGTTGGATCTTGAATTTTTATATTTGTAGAAAGTGCAATTTGTGAGATAACTTGCTCACTTGGGTCAATAGAAGGCTCTTCTTGTTCCATCCATATGCTCCCAAATTGTTTCGTTAAATCATTTAGTACTGTAGTAGTAGCATTATAAAGATCTCATTGCTTGATTTTTGAAGATCCCAAGCTTCGAGAAGTTTAACTTTGGTTTTCTTTTGATGTGCTAATCAATCAAGGCCCACCATTCTTACTCCTATGCTTGTGAGCAAGAGTTCATCTAGACAAGATATATTGTGCAAGAATCAACTTTAATCAATAATATTACTTCATTACATATTACGTATGTTTGCATAGCATACCTATAGTTTCAAACATCCCATGACAATAGTTAAATTGCCCTTCTGCTAAGCCACAACATACAACTTGTGAGTTGAAGTTATCATCAACCTTATGATGAACAACATATGTTGTAAATCCATCATTATTGCTCACTCTACCATCATGCCAACAATGAAGGAAGGCTTTTTTTAAACTCAAGTTGGAACTTTGTAAAAATCTTTTTTGTGTACACTTTTCTAGCATGAACTTCTAAGGGATGCATGCGTTGGAAATTATGCTTCATTCTCATTGTAACAAGGTCCTCATTCTCTTTTTTCTCATGACGACATTGTAAAGCCTTTGAATATTGGTTAACAAACTACTGTAATGGAATCATAGAATTTTCACATAGCCATAAAAAGAAAACATTAATACTCTCACTCCGTTGGCTTGATCTCATTCTAGCAAAAAAAGCATCTTTCAGATAAGCATCAATCCAATTATACCTTTTCTCACATATACTTTCCAACCACCTCCATGATTTCTTCTCATTATGTTGCTTCTTAGTTAATGGCCCTTCATATTCATGCTTATAATTTTGTTTTAGTGTTACCTATGCACTCTTAGCTTCTTCAATGGTTTTGCTCTTCACCCACTTATAGTAATGTTGATCAAAACTTGGATTATAGGCAAATCACAAAGAATGGAGATGTTCATCTACATGAAGAGAGATTTGCCATATGCAAAACTTATGTCTTGTGTTTGGAAACACTCTTTTAATTGCATTAATATTGTTGGGTCTTGGTCGGTGGTGATTGCTTTAGGTGCCTTTCCTCTCATGCTATTTAGCCATCGCTTAAATAGCCAAACAAATGATTCTTTTTGTTCATCAGCTAAAACAGCACATCTAAAAAGTGTAGACTATCTATGATGATTCATACCAATAAATGGTGCAAAAGGGAGAAGGAACTGATTAGTCTTGTAGGTGACATCAAAAACCACATCCCCAAAGTGTTCATACATTGCCCTTGCTCTCCTATCTACCCAAAAAATACTCTTGCAAACACCATCTTCATCTAACTCAATGGAGTGATAGAACCTATCATCCAAAGTAGTTATGTTTAAAAATTGTTGCACAATGGCCATACATTCACAACCAATATTGCTCTCTTTTCTTTCTCACGTGTTGTTGGCACTAGTTAGGTGTAATATATGAGTTTCCAAACCTTGTGGCATTCAAAAGCTGTGCAATTTTTGCTGGACCACATCTTGCATTGCTATATGGATCCATTAATGCTCTTGCACATGGTTGGAGATGCTGCTTATTATGGGACAGTAATTTTCTTGATTTATTTGGAGAGGAAAACATCTCATGGTTATGATCATCAAAGAATTGCTTGATGATCCATCCTTCATTCTTTAGATGAATAGCCATTTGAGCTTGACAACCTTTTTGATTTTGACGAGCACGATTATTGATGGTGTCACTCTTGGGCTCTCTTTTATAAGTTGCCTTGTAGGAAACAAAATATCTTCAATTAATCGGTTTTTTTGGCTTCAACCTCTTGGCTAATGCCTTCCGAATACTAAAGCACATCCTTGTAGCATATTCATTACAAAAACCAAAAGCACTATCATCCGTTGGAAATTCCACCCCGATATAAGGTCTCCCTTCATTAGCATGACATACATCAATATCTCCTTTTGCTTCATCTTCATTACAAAATGTCTCATCCTTAAACTCTTCAACCCTTTCTATGACTACACAATCATCATTATCAACCTCATCAATAGTTTGTTTTGTTTCAAATTCTTCAAACCTAGTAGCAGGAACTAAAGAAGTAGCCATTGAATCAAATGCAACAATATACCGCCTGCTAAGTATGAAAAAAAAAAAAATCAATTAGATGAAAGAAAATGTGATAAATAGGGGAAAAATGTGTTCAAGTCATTGGAGAATCCTTTACTAATTCCATTAAAAAAAAAAGTCTAATTCTGAACATGACAGAGTATTTAGTTAGATGTTTGCCTTTCATATAGAACTTGATATCGTAATCATCCTTTAATCAAATTCTTACTTGGAATGAAAATTCAAATTCTCTTTTAATCAAAATTTTACTACAAAACTGACACACCATAACAATGCTTTGCTTTGTTTCTTTTACCAGCTACTTTTTTTCTTCCTCACATTGATTTTTCTAGCAAATAGGGATGAGTTGAAGCCACTGTCGAAATCCAGATCTTCTGTGACAAAATCAAATTCATATGTTGTCAATTTGTGGATAGATTGTCATTTACCTTGCAACTTTTTAAAAGAAACTCTAATTATCTACAATTTTTCAAAGAAATTATCAATGTGACTAATATATGAGATAAATAGAGTACCTTCTAACAAGTAAGTGAAGAAGCTTGCAACTAGAAGAAGAGGAAATGAACAATTGTGTTAGAGAGGTAGGGATTATTGTGTTAG